AAATTAGGGTCCCTTTTGGGGTCCACAATATAGTACGGCGCCTTTATAAAAACGACCCTAAAAGGGACCCCTATTTTAGAGAACTGCCCATGTATACAATTATGTAACACATTATGTAGCTGTAGCGCACAACGAAGTCTGGATTTCTACCACCCCAATCCCTACAAGAACATGAGACACATCAGGAGAGTTGATAGAGCTGCAGAACTGGAGGTCGGGCGGGGGTCACTGCACGTGGCTCTTTAACAGAAGACCCACCCCCCCATTTTTTCGGATCTCGATTGGAGTCCCTCGTGTTTCAAACCTCTACATGCTGAGCCCGAGTCGCTGCCCTAAACCCTAAACCCTGAAACCCGAGTCGCTGCTTGTAGAGGCCGAAGCCGGAGCTTCTTCTCTTCCTCAACCCTGCTCCCACTCCGGGATTTGGCCGCTGCAGGGATTTCGGAGTTTCTGGCGAAGAGCTTCAAAACCATCCGAGTCTTAGGGTTTTGGGTTTAGGGCCATCCGAATCCTGTCGGCGGAAGCAACCCTAAACCCTAAACCCTAAGCGACATCAGGCCGATTCGTACATGGAAGAAGAGTGGAGCAACGAGGCGGGAGGGCTTACAGCGTACGATTCAACTTGCATCTACCCATAGGCCCCATAGTAGTTCCTCTTTGTGGCTTATATTTAGGATCCCATTAGGGAATTCCAAAAAGGAACTACTATGGGGCCTATGGGTAACATCCCCGAAGTCTGAAGCTGTTAACCTCAGACCCGAAACCGAAAACTTAAACCCCAAGCACGGCCGGAGGCGGCTGGAGGCCTTCTGCCCTCAAAGAGTTCGGGGCCTATCCCCGCCCTGAACCCTACAGATCATCCCTTCTCAGGGGCCCTATTGTGAACGGCAGTTTCAACTCCAGCGTAGCATGGCCGTGCTGCTTTCTAGCCCCTAAGACAGAGTGTGGGGTTTAGGGTTTAGGGTTTGGGGTTCGCAACGCTAGATCCAGGTTTGAGGTTTTGCACGTGCCCTCCGCTGTAGCTCTCTGAGCCCTCGCGCAAGTCTTAGATGATTATATCTTAGGGTTTAGGGTTTAGGGTTTAGGCTTTAGGGTTTAGGGGTTTAGGCTTTAGGGGCATTCCCTAAGGCTCCATGTGCCCATATAGTAGATACTTAAGCCTTAAAGTACCTATATAGAGACCCCTTTAAGGCCTAAGTATCTTCCTTAAGGACGAAATGAACCTTAAGAGTATGGGGCCCTATACCCTTATACTATGAATCCCTATATGGTGTATGACCCCTAAACCCTTTTAGGGCTCTTTTCGTCCTTAAGGTCAGGCATTGGGACCCTGAAGGAAAGCTAAGCTCCATCCCTGCTGCAGGCCCCATCACGGCGCATGGTTCGCATGGAAGAGGTGGCCTTCAAAGGGTTTGGGTTTAGAGTTTCGGATTTAGGGTTTTTGGTTCAAAGCTTGCGCCCCCAAATACCCAAATCTGCAGTCTAACGGGCAAGTCCGTAGTTGTCAGATTGCGGTGTCCAAAAGTTCAGGGCTGATGTCGGCGAACTGTGGAGTAGCTTGCAAGGTACCGTCCATGAAATTGCTTCAGGTTTCCTCCATGGAGATGCGCATGTATATTGGGCACCTGCACCACGCTACTTCCATGATCACTGGCGACGTCAACGAACATCATCAACCCCATAAACCTTAAACTTTGACCCTTCATCTTGGCTTTTTTCGGGTATTGAGACTGCTATGAGGACATGCCGATCCTGAGCCACCAAGTGGACGATGGCTGAGCCCGTAGAGTTTCTGTGAAACAGACATGCACAGGTGTATGACAACTTCTCACATCACCTGCTGTAGGAATAGGACCTTGGCAATGTTGGGACACCAAGAGCGCGCTGGAGAAAAGGCACAGAAAGTCATCCCCTGTTGACGATGCCTCAGCGAACAGGTGATCCAGGCCTGCAACACCTCAAGACGAGGGTTTCGCACAGAAATTGCTCAGATCCATCGCCGCTGAATGTTTGCAGCCTGCAGTTACTAACCGCGCTGAAGGGGTTTTAGGATTTAGGGTTTAGGCGTTAGGGTTTTAAGGTTCAGGGTTTAGGGCTTTAGGGTGTTTAACCACCAGGCGTTCTTGCTTGCAAGCCTGCAGCAATTTAGGGTTTAGGGTTAGGGCTCCTTATCATAACTCTAGCACAACGTAACCCCAAGACACGATTGGAGTTATTCCGGCTCCTCCTTTAGATCCTGATGCAACATATATTATAAACCGATGCAGCTCGTGGCCTGTAAGTGCATCCACTGTATCGTAGCCAATCGAGCAAGGAAACCCTAAACCCTGCACCCTAAACCCTAAATCCCTAGCCTGCCCAACCTGGGCTTCGAAGCGCAAAGTACCGAAAAATGCCCTTAACAAACCCAAAAACCTAAATCCCTAAACCCTAAACCCCTAAACCCTAAACCGTAAACCTACACTCGGGTCTTGTAGACCGATGCCATGGCTGATGCCGGCTACAACCAGACATCACAAGGCACCTGGGTCGAAGGCGACACGGTCCTCTACCGGGGCGTCGCAGCGATACTTTGCAGAAACACCACTGTCCATGTGGCGCTGGAAGGCAGGGCATTCCTGGAGTAGCGTCTCCCTTTGGGGATCCTTGGGTTCGGGGAGCTCCGTTGACATGATGAGTACTTCGTCTACAGGAAGACGCAGCATGTCAAGGGAGTTAGGGTGCATACAGAGGATTTGCACCTGTATTACTCTGACCACGATGAAGGGACACTAAACGTCGTCATCATCATCATCATCATCATCATCATCAACATCATCGTCATCATCATCATCATCATCACCGCCACCACCATCACCACCACCTCCTTCATCATCATGATCACCATCTTCATCACCATCACCATCATCATCATCATCATCTTTATCATCATCATCATCATCACCATCATCATCATCATCATCATCATCATCATTTTTATCATCATCATTTTTATCATCATCATCACCATCATCATCATAACCACCGTCACATCATCGCCACCATCACCATCACCCACAACTCGTAGAATCCGAAATGCCCATCCTGAATTCGATGCAGTGCCCCAAGCTCCAAGCTACAATCAGCGGCAATTCAGCCCAGACCCTAAACCCTAAGCCCTAAACCCTAAGCCCTAAGCCCCACACCCTAAACGCTAAGCCCTAAGCCACGTAATCAATTGGGGTCATAAGTAAGTATATTAAGTATAGTTACCTTAGTTGGGGTTAGAAGTAAGTCTATTACGTATAGTTACCTTCATTGGGGTTAGAAGTAAGTCTAGCAAGTATAGTTACCTTATTTATAGCCCTAGTTACGAAGTCCCAGGTTCCTGTAAGTAGTCTTATGGGAGTTTCCGAAAATTAGGGGTACCTTATTTGGGGATCCTTATAATAAGGATCCTACTATTTAGGGTACTATAGAAGGGTCCCCTATTTTCGGAAACTTCCATATTGCTAGAGGAGGAAGCCCTGATGGCTTGAGGTGCACAAGAGCCAATCAGCTTAAGCTTGGGACGTGGCGGGGTCGCTCTGCTGGTGCGGGGGCAGGCCAGCAGACTTCCAAGGTACTAGTTTAAGTGGGGGTTACTGGATTTCATAAAGCATTGAGGGGCCGTCTAGGTCTTTACGTACAGCTCTTGTTGATAGAGAGCACCGTTTTCAGAGAGGCAGGGGGTTTATCTTTTCCAACGGAACCTCAGCGTTTACTGAAAATTGAGCCCGAAACCCTACACTCTAAACCCTAACTAGGCTTACACATTACCCAGCCTTTCCCTAAACCCTAAACCCTAACTAGGCTCACACATTACCCAGCCTTTCAAAGAGACACAGCAGCCCTCAGGTATTCCAGCGGGACGAGATCCAGGCGCCCGGAATCCTGCCAAAACCCGTAAATTCCATGAGTTTGAGGTGTTAGGGTTCAGGGTTTAGGGGTTTAGGGTTTGGGGTTCGCACGGTAATTCGTGAACGCTAAAGCTCTACACCTTATCCTAAGCCCCAACCCCATATCCGTAGACCTTAAGCTTAAACCCTAAACACTAAAACCCTAAACCCCTACCCAAACTTCTAACCGAACCCCAAACCCGAACCCCTTAGCTTTAATTAGACCGTACACCCTAAGACCCTTAACTCGCATCCTAAACGCTATAAACCCTAAACCCTGAACCCCTGAAACTTCTAAACCCTAAACACGCATGAGGCCCACTCCTGGGGTGCTGTGGCGCGTGAGCTGGCGGAGCTGAAGGGCCTGCCGGAGATTCGAAGGCCGAGCATCCGAAGCAAAGGGCATTCCTCTAAGGAGGGGTTTTTGAGGTTTTGGGATTTAGGGGGTATAGGGGTTTAGGGTTGTAGGGTTCAGGGTTTATGGGTTTAGAGGGTTTAGGGTTTATGGGTGTAGAGGGCTTACGGTTTTTTCAAGGGTTGAGGGTTGAGGGTTTAGAGTTTCGGTAAGGATTACTACGCGGGCTCTGAGGGGTTCTATATACCTAGGAGCCTGCAGAACTACTGATATCACTCTTCTGTGGGTGCACGGCTGAAGACCCCCGCCCCAAACTCATAAGGACCCTTAGGGGGGTAGCCTTGATATAATGCTGTGAATATGGACCTAAGAAGCCCCCTATGTTAGGGAGCCCCAACCCCCCTCCCCCTACCTTAAGGGTCCTTATGACAAACTTGAAGTTGTAGAGTTGCCCCCAAGGGCCGAAGCCCCGACCGTTGGGATGCTTTCAACCGAGTACATACACATCTCTGTGACGACATCTCGGGTTTAGGGTTTAGGGTTTGGGGTTTAGGGTTTAGGGGTTTAGGGTTAAGGGTGAGCGGCTATATAAAGGCTATATAGAATCGCCGTGGTATCATAACATAGATGGTCCCCGAAGAAAGCATTGCAGCCCAGAGTCTGGCCAAAGCCCCCTCCCCCCCATATCTTGGTCTCTACTCATAGGCCCCATAGTAGTTCCTTTTTGTAGCTTTTAATTAGGATCCTATTAGGGAATCCCCAAAAAGGAAGTACTAAGGGGCCTATGGGTAAGCCCTAGCTGCAGCTAGACCTTAAACGCTATGGCACGTAACTTTTCGTGGGTTCCGGAGTAGGAAGTCATTAGAAACAGGTCCTTACAAAGGTCGGCTTTTTTGAATTTTGGGGTTAACGTAGACCTCACACCCTAACCCTATAATAAGCCATAAGCCCCTAAACTCTGAACCTTATAATCCCCTGAACCCTGTGAACCCCTAAAGCCCGAATAAAACCCAACAAATCTTAAACCCTAAACCCTAAACAGGTATTGGTCGACTCTCCGGGGGGCTTTCTGGGCGGCCTACGTGCGCGAGGAGCAGGGGTCGAGATGCGTCTATACCGCCACGGACCTCGCGGGCATCATGCCGATGAGTCCTGGCGGCAACGGGAGTAGGGTCTATAGGGTTTTAGGATTTAGAGGTTTAGGCTTTAGAGTGTTGTTCAGCATTTTTGGCCGTGTATCGTGTAAGTGTAAGGTTACTGCGGGTTCTTCCAATAGTTTTTTGTTAGGCTCTGAGTGGCTTACGGTATAGTAGGGTTTGCTTCAGCATGCTTGGCGGTGTAAGGCTCCAAAATTGGGTTATACCAGGCTTATCACAAGCGTTACAGAAAGGTGTGGCTATCAAGATCTTTTAAGAGTAGGGTTTGCCCCAGACCCTAAACCCCTAAACCTTATAAACCCTAAATTCGCTGCAGGTGGATTGGCCGGAGTGAGGACGGCTGCGAGCTCCTGGCCTCTGCGCTGTGGCCACGCAGCCTTTTCCCCGCGGCCGCCGTCCCAACTCTCCGTCAGGTCCCAGGGCTTCGGGGTTAAGGGGGTTTAGGGGTTAGGGGTGTTTGGGTTTAGGGGTTTAGGGTTTAGTAAGGGCATAATTAGGGGTTGAGGGGTTTGGGGTTCAGGGCTTTCGGGTTCAGGGTTTAGGGGTTAGTAAACAGTTTAGGGTTTAGGGGACAGGTTCGGAGGCCAAAGCAGAGACCGTTTTTAAAATTCGTGCAATTTTGCAGTACTGGCAGTGCCCTCTTTTGTTCCTGTATACAGGTATATACCCGTCTATCTATGCCAGAATCCATTCGAAGCATTCAGTCCCTTTTTTGCCTCAAGAGCTCAACTCAGCCAAGTCCTTTCAGAACCCTATACAATCTACTATGTAGATCTGAAAGAAGCCCTTGCTGCAATCCTTCAAAGTTACAGGAGCCCGTAAAGGAACCCTGAACCTTTCAAGCCGAGCCTAAAGCCCTTAGTTCAAACGACTAGACTCGTGACAAGACCCTACACCCTAAACCCCACAACCGTAGACCCCAGAACGCCTAAACCCTAAACCCTTCGACCCCCCTAGACGGTCCGTATACATGTATGTATGCATGTATGTATATATATATATATGTATGTATATATATATATATATACAGAGAGAGAGAGAACAAAAACACCGTTATGGAATTTGATCCATAACAGCATAATGAGGATAGTCTCCATAACGGTAGTATATATATATATATAAATATATATATATATATATATATATATTTGTATATTTGTATATTGTATATGTATATAAGACCCTCCGGGACCCAAGCCTCAGCCAGGCCTGCCCACGTGTGGTTCACCGCCTCGCCGCCTCGGGCTGGGCGTCCTCGGCGCCCGATCCTTTCCATGGGCTCCATGCGCCGCTTGTCACCCAAAGGGTCCAGAGGGTTTAGGGTTTAGGGTTTAGGGTTTAGGGTTTAGGGTTTAGGGTCCAGAGTACCGATTCTATATTGGGAACTGTTATCATGATTTGGGAAAGTATACCCCGTAACAGTACCTAGGACCCTTTGGCTTAGGGGCCAAAACTGTGATTTGTTATCGCGTACACAGTTACACGGCCCCCTTCCCCTTCATCTTCATCATCATCACCATCATTATCATCATCATAATCATCATCTTCTTCATCGTCATCACCATCGTCTCACACATGGTCATCATCATCATCGTCATCATCACCAACATCGACTTCGTACCGCGGCGAGCTGCGCCACGAGTATTTATCGTTGTTGCTGCCATTGGTATAAGAACCCAGCAAATCCCTATTATAGATTCACTACAGACCCTATCAACACCCTAAACCCTAAACCCTAAACCCTGAACCCACCCTACAAAAAGCGCCTATTCTGGACACCCCGAGGCCGATCGCTTCTGGCACCTCTGACAGCTCGGCCCTCGAAGCGCTTGTGGTCCAAGCAGCGCGGCGCTGCGTGGCTGGGGAGGCGACCCGATGAATTTGCGAGTTTGTCCAGCATTTTATAGTTTTTGAGAGGGGTTGTGCGCAGGTCGGTAGGTAGGTAGGTAGCTAGCTAGCTAGCTAGCTAGCTAGCTAGGTAGGTCGGTAGGTAGGTAGGTATTGCTACCAGTGTCCATTTTGCAGATCTTGAGTTGCCAGATCCCAATCCTTGACAGTCGTACCTCCATACCCGACCGCACAAGAAAAATCAGGCCTTGCACGCTGAATCCTACATCCTAAGCCGCTCAACCCTAAACCCCCACCTTACCTACCCCATCAGACTCCTCATAAAGTGAAAAGGGTTGATGAATCAGGGGCTGTGGCCCTAAACTTAAATCCCTGAGCCCTATAAGCCCCATTGTGGCCCTAAACTTAAATCCCTGAGCCCTATAAGCCCCGCTGTGGCCCTAAACTTAAACCCCTGAGCCCTATAAGCCCCATTAGTCCTGAGGCCCACGTGGGACTTCTCTTCAGCGGCGGTTTGGACTCGGGGATCTTCGGCTGCGGTCAGGGAGTGTTTTTGTGTCAGTATTGTTCTTTTCTGGGTTGTCTTTTGGGATCTTTTTTAATTTGCCTTACTATTTTGTAGAGAACCATGATAGTAAATAATTTTCAAAGGGCGTTTAAAGGACAACTTAGTTTTCGTGTGTATGTTTGCTTGTTTTAAGGGTGAGAGGCGGGGGATAGATTGTAGGGTTTTAGTGTTGTTTTTGTTTAATGAATTATGAAGGGATGTTGTTCATGTTTGCAGGCCTTGCTGTAACAACCAAAAGCGGCCTTTGTGGGTGCTTTAGGGCAGTTACTGACAGCTACTGTATGTACAAATATATATATATATATATGTATGGGCTGTAGCTTAGGAGAAACTGTGTCGGACGCTAGAAGCCGCTACAACTTGAGACTTTTCGCGTGTAGTGTTTTAGGTTTTTGAAATGCGCTTAGAACATACGGCTTCAGGTCTTTCCTTCTGGGGATCTTTCGGCATGACAGTTTCAGGTATCAGGGTTGAGGTAGTCTACAACCGCGGTAGATTCTGATAGAGGAAGGGGGGTCGTTTGGATGTAGGCCGTACCTGGACCCGAAAAGTATGTAGAATAATAGCCTTTTGCGCGTGTTGGGCCATTAGTTTACCTACTTTTGGGGATTTAGGTAAGGGTTCGCTAAACCCTAAACTGAGGGTTGTTCAGGACTTAGAGTCTAGGCGTTATCCCAGGCTTCAGGTTCAGGAGTCTACTTGGGATGTGCGTGTCAAAGAGAGTTGCCGCGATGGTTGGAATTCTCAACCCTAAACCCTAAACTCTAAACCCTAAGCCCTAACACCAATATCACGAAACTCTAAGGCCCTCCTAGGACCCTTCTGGGACTCCCTACGCCCTTTTTCCCTAAACCCTAAACCCTTAAGCCCTTAACCCTAAACCCCTAAACCCCTAAACCCCTAAACCCTAAACCCCTAAACCCCTAAACCCCTAAACCCCTAAACCCTAAACCCATTTCAGAAGGCTCTTGGGCTATCTTTTCTCCAGTGGCCTGCTGGCACCGCGCCTCGGCAAGGTGTGGTTTTTTGTAGACTTTTTTATCAGGGCGAGGCTCGGCTTTTTGGGTGTTACAGGGCTTTAGGGGGTTTAGGGTCTATAGGGCTTTGGGTTTATAGGATTTAGGGGTTAAGGGGTTTAGGGTCTAGGATTTAGGGTTTAGGCTACGGCTTGGGGGTTCAGGGTTTAGGGGTTTAGGGTTTGGAGTTGAGGGTTTAGGATCTTTATTCTGAGGATTATTGTACGGCCTCCTTTACAGTAGGTTTAGCGTTTAGGGGATGTTGGGGGGGTGTCTCTTACAGTACATGGGGTCGTAGCAGTTAGGGATTTTGTAGCTTTGTGAGTTCATTGACGGTTTATCCCCCTTACGGGGAATTATGACAGTGACGAGAACCCGAAGTGGAACTTAGTATTGAAGCGACCCCACATTGACGTCCCTCACTCATCCCTAAACCCTAAGCCCTAAACCCTACTCATGAGCATGCCATAAAGTTAAAGGCCTGAAGCCCAGAGCCTCGAATCGTAATTCCGAGCTCTACGCTTCTAACTCTTTGTGACTTAGTCGTAAACCCGGGCCTAGACGGTGAGGGAGTCCGATGATGATGATGATGATGATGATGATTATTTTACCTATGAATCTGATAATTATTATTAGTAGTCATATGCTGTGTTATTTTTATTTGTTAACACTTTCAATAGGACTGCTGTTATAGTTAATTGTCTTAGTTTTGAAATTTCTGGGGCCGAGGAAGAGCATTTCTAATGGCACTCGCAAGAACTGGGTAGTCCTCTAAACTAGAGTCCCGTTTAAGGTTCGTTTTATTAGGGAGCCGTACTATGTTGGGGACCTAAGACGGGACCCTGATGTAGAGAACTATCCAACCGTCAAAGGAGTCTTTGATGGGTTTAGGGTTTGAGCTTGTAGCGCCTATGAGCTCAGATCCGCAGGGCGATTACTTGAGGAATCTTAAGCCCAAGCTTTTTCGTCGGGCCCTAACCCCTAGACCTGGTTCAGGGTTTAGGGGTTTAGGCTTTAGGGCTAGGCCCCATAGTAGTTCCTTTTTGTGGCCTATATTTAGGATCCTATTCGGGAATCCCAAAAAGGAACTACTATGGGGCCTGTGGGTAGATGCCTGCTCCAGCACATCTCTACCTGACTTAACCCTAAGCGACTTTCTGGTTGGGGTTTCTGTGGTTTGAAGGCCAACGGTGGGATGATGTAATATAGGGGCTTAAATAATTACCCAGAACGTTTTCGGTGGTTCCTTGTTATAATTACAGTATAATGGGTCCCCAAGCCCTATTCTAATTATTAAGGCCCCTAAACCCCAAACACTTATAGTATCTCTTCTAGTATCCCCTTGAAGGAGCCCTTTCAAGGAGCCCTATTCTGCTTAGTAAGGCTCCTACATTACCAGATCCGGATGATTTCACCAGGCTTTGTGGTTGGTGTTTCATTGGGGGGAGAAAGAGCCCTAAACCCTGAACCCGAAACCCTAAACCCCAAAACCCTAAACCCCAAACCCCAAAACCCTAAACCCTAAACCCTAAAACCCTAAACCCTAAACCCTAAAGAAGAAGCCTTGATTCAGCGCCGACTC